CAAAGCCCTCACCTGACACCAAACCTGCTGGTACCTTGATCTTGAACTCCCAGCCTCCAGAACTGAAAGGAAATACATTATTGATCTCTGCACATTGTGCAGCCCCGGGTATTTTGTTATAGCAGCACAAATGGATGAGCACAGTAGTCAGAGAAGTTCTCCAGAAAGATGAAATTCATGATGGATCCAAATGATAAACAACTATGAGAAGTTCTTCCACAGAATACCAAGAAGAGGGACAGCTGGAACTGGCTGTATGAGTTGGAAAGTCTCGTGTTCCTGGAGGACAGATCAGAAAAACTGGTAGTGAGAAGGCTGAACAGAGGCAGAGGCCACTTACACAGAACTCTAGCAGTTCATGTTTTATTTTCTATGCAGTATGAAGTGTGGTTTTAAAGAGAACAGTGAATTAGTTACCTGGTGGTGCTTTGCTAAAGGCCACCTGATGCTGGAACTTAAACTAGAAACAAAGGCAAAACCTGGGAAAGAGTTGTAATAATCTAGGCAAGAGGCATGGAATCAGTAAAGAATTAGTTTGTAGAGATGTTTCTCAGACTTTAATGCATATATGAGTCAATAAGAGATTTGCCAAAGAGCAGATTATAATTCTGCAGGTCTAAGATGGAGCCTGACATTTTGAATTTCTAACAAACTTTCAAGTGATTCTAAAGTTACTGATGCAAACATCACAGGAAGAAGGAAGAATGCACAGAACTCTTACTGGGTTGTAGTTTGAAGGAATGGAAAGAGAAGAATCGAAGGTTATTACCCCTCCCCTTCGGAAAATTGTGTAGATGATAGAGGCATTTATTGAGATAGAAGTTTCATCACCATCTCTGCTTTTCAGGTTACCTGACTCCTATCTAGTGGGCTGGAAAATCTTTTAGGGAGGTAGAATAGCAATTCACTTTGGCAAAGCAGCAAACCATGATGGGATTATGATGGTATGGTGTAGCATGTTTCTGGCCTAGTAGGAAAATGACACATGAGCTCGGATGGTTGCAAAGTCTTCACAGTAAAATGATCATTTTCTGATGAGTATGCATCCATTGCCAAGTACTTGGTTTAAGAAGGTGGTTTCTGGGTCATTCTTTTCCCAGAGACATCAGGTGTCCTCAAAGGGTGGAAAAATTGAGTCTTCACACAGCTGAAGTAAATGGGACAAAGGAAATTACTCTTATAAAAGACTTTTGCACATATCACCCAGCAGTTGTTCGCTAACAAGCCCACAATCTATATTCTTGGCAGAGCTCGCTTAACCCTGTAGTCCACAATTGATCTTTTGGCTTTATCTTGCTTTCTAGCAAATGAAGCCTGGCTGCTGTACAGTACTGAGCAACTCCTAAGTGTTCTCACAAGTGAAACCTTTTTCTAGTTACGAGTCAGAAAGCTCTTCTAGGATTCTCTGCCTTCCTCAAAGATGTCAGACAGACAAAGCAAACCAAAACTCATCTGGCCCCAGTCATGCATCAAAAGTTCAATCTGACTTTATAAATTGTAGGACTTCATTGGGTGCTCCCAGAAATGGAAAAACAAGCCAGGTCCAAGACCCGCTTAGACTATTTGGGTTCTTGCTATTTCCTTGTTCCTTTGCCTGGACTGCCTGTCAGGAGCTAATCACCTGATACCTGTTGTAGAGCTCAAACTTTCCGGTAGGCCTCCTGCCCCCATGAGAATGATGTTTTAAATAAACCCAGATCTTTTTGATTTTTGAGGGGCATTTTCAACTGGAAAATATAATTTTCTGGGTAAAAGAAAAAAACTGTAAGGACTTATGAAACTTCCCATCACACTTTGGACATCAGCTAACTCTCACCAAAGAACATCACACAAGTGAATCAGAAATCCATGGATGAAGTTCCTCCTGAATTAAAAGTAGGCTTCATGTAAGGGGAGATCAGCAGGGTAGATGTGGGCAAGAGTATGACAAACCAATCTGGAAGCTTTGTGAAATCCAAACCATTTGAAAAATCCATTTTTAGAAAGAATAGAAATGCCATTTATATTTCAGTTCACTCCTGATTTGAGACATCATTTTCCTACTTTAGAGACTTGTTCTTTAATCTTGATATTCAACAATGACAAAATAGATCAGACAGAAAGCAGAGTTTTCCTGGGCCTCTTTTACACAATGTCAGTAGGTTCTATTCACTGACTTTAATGGAGAACAATGGTCTTTAGACATTATCTTTCCTCGGGAATAAAGTCTTGGAAATATTTTCTGCGATTATGATCTAGTACTATTTTCTAATCATGGCTTCTTCTCCAGAGGACTTGGAGAAGACTTTTTTGTTTCTTAGATTTTTTTAAAAGGCTACTTATTTAACAAATGGGAAAAAAAATCTACTTTTCATACTTGTAGTCTCAGTCCCCAGAACAGAATATTGAGTGAGAAGAGGATGGATTCTTCTTACTTATGGATTCATTTTAATAGCAATTGCAGTAAAAACAAACTCAAAACAGTGACCTTGATAGCTCTCCCTGCATAGAGCCAAGGTCAATTCCAACTTACATTCTTTTCTAAAAATGCTGTGTTGTCACATTGCCAAGGACAAAGGAAGGTTGAGTTCAACTGTATATCTTTTAAAATCTTGGGAATGTTTTAATAAGAAAAGCAAATTCTCTCATAAATACCATAGATGTCTGGATTTGGTGTTTCCTATGCTTGTAGGGTTTGAAAACAGTTGGCTGTCCTTTAGTCCTAAAATTTCCCTTCTTTAGTCCATTAATCTGCTTAGCGAACCCTTCTCCTAACAGACAATGTTAAGGCAAACCTACACTGAGGTCACACGCATTGCCATCTCATACTTCGATGAAGGCCAAGGAACTCATTTCTGCAATTGGGATACATAATCACACTGCTTACAACCTTGGCTTCCCCTTCTCTATCAGATCCACCCCTAGCCTTCTCTCACAACTCTCCCATGTCCACCAGAGGCCCAGTGGCCTTCATTTGGTTCTTCAAGCCTATTGGGCTTCTGCCCTTCTTAAGGATGTGACCAGGGTCATTCCTCTGGCTGGACATTATGCCCTCACATCCTTGCCCCGCCCTGGCCCACTAAGTTTGTCCACTGGGCCCACCCCTTGCCTCAGTCATTCCATAACCTATTAGACTGCTTATTTTCTCAGTGAGAAAACGACCACTCTCAGAAATTCTGCTCTTGTTATAGTTATCTACTAGCTCACTTCTGTCTTCCCCACAAATTATTGGCTTCATGAAAATAGGACCTCTGTCTTGGTCATTATACCTAAGGGACTGCACAAAACAAGCACTCAGATATTTTTAAAGTGGGTGAAGGAATGGACCATGTAATAACTACATGCTGATAGTGTCCAGATCTATTTACCAGATCTCTTTGTGGTCCAGACCACTAACTCAGGTCTTCAACATTACCTAGAGGATTTTGTTCACCACTGGGCCATGTCACCTATAAGGAGTCTGAACCACCACAGAGGCATCCTATAGACATAACTAATGGTGCAGAGAGGACAATGGCCCAGTTCGCAGGTAGAACCACACTCTTGAGCTCCTTGCACATAAGGTCGAAGCTAGGCTTTACCCGAAATCACCTTTTTTATTTGCTGTCTTGCTTCTCTCCCTCCCTTCCTTTTGAGATTAACCCTCCCCAGGTGCTAGTCTCAGACAAACCCTAGGTATGACTTCACAAAGTCAGCATTCACCCACCAGTGACGACAGGCAACGATCTCTACCGTGTGTTCCAAATGCACTGGGGAAGGAAAATACACATCTTTACGACAGTGAGTCAGGGTCCTTGGAGTTGATGACAAGAATCCATGAGCTGGTTTGCACACTAAGCTTTGTTCTCTGTAGATGACATTAATGATATGCCTCATGTCAATATGTGATTTGATACACAAGTAATAACCAATGCGTAGATGTGATATGATACTAAAGGTACTAAATACTACCATAAAACATTTAATTCAGGGTAAAATTGATTATTTATAGCTACCATTTTCAATACATTTGGGTACATAAAATTGTTTTAATGTTAAAGGGGGATCCTTGTACTTTAAAATGGAAAGTGTTATTGATTTGTATACATTCCTAAAACAAAGAAATGAAAAATACTGACTATAGAGAATTAACGGAACACCCAGGGTCAAACGTCAAACAGCATTGCTTTCCTTCAGAATTGTTCACTCTATCCTCTTTACCAAACATTTGCACCATTTTTTTCATAACCTAAAATCACAAAATCTGGAAATTCATTCCAACTAAAGAGCAAAATCACTGAAGAGTTAATAGTGAAGATCAGAGGGTGAGTAATCATCTCCACTTTAATTTGAAATTGTCAAGCCATCTACCATGTAAAAGCAGTAACTAAAGGATACAAAGTTCCATAAAGGACAGGTCCTCCCCTTAAAAACAAAGTTTTCTTTTTTCCTATCATCTAGCTACATAAAGTAGAGAAGTAAAAGAACAAAACTTTGTGATTAAAAAAAAATTCTATAGAGGTGGAAACAACCAAGATTGGGGAAATTAGAACCTTTTGAAAGTTTGGGCAGGTGAGTAGGAACCAGGAAATGAGGGAATGAAAAAAATTTGGCCGAGTCCAAAACTTTGCCTGGAAAAGTCAAAAACTGCTTCCTGTCTCTTCCCCCTGTCTTGTGTAACTCCTTAACTTTAAAATCAGACTAATATTACATCTGAGACACTTTTTATGCTAAATAAATACTATGAACTTAAAACAGGACTCTAAACACTTCAGTTACCTTTGAAAATGGCAATGATATTTTGCCCTACTTATTAATATATTTAGATGAGTTCAGCCTATAGCGTTCACCACCTTGGTGGTGATACTATGCATTAAATATGAGTTATAATTTGGGAAATAGGCCAGCATTTTTCCTCATGAAGTAACCTTTGTATTGCCTAATAAACACTCCTATGTTCAACACAGGAAGCCTTTGTTACCACATAGACCTCCTTGGTTTTAGATTCTATCTGGAGTTCTGAGGGGAAGTTAGACATTCGTTCAGAAAGGCCGGTATCAACCACCATTATTGACCAAGCAATACTTGGACCAAGAGCAATGCTGCGCACTGGGAGTGACACCTCATTTCAAGGAACTCATACATTGGGGTCCCAAAGAAATAACAATTCTCTGTGGAATCAGAGAGAAGGTCTTGGTAAGAGCTGATACTGCTTTGTCTGTTCCTTAAATGGTAAATAGGTAGAGAAGGTGCTAAAGATTCCCTGGGGAGCTTTAAAAAATAAAGTCCATGCAAAAGATATTGAAAATAAGAAAAATGCAAGGCCTAATTTGGCTTGAAATGATCCAAGCAAGAGATGAGGACGCCTAGTCTGCTACAGAGGTAGAGTCAAAGAAGAGAGATGACCTTGGGTTTTTCTGCTGAATGTTTCTCTAAAACCCATTTACCAGTGTCATAAAACCAGAAGCCCAAAGTGTGGGGGCCAAAGACCTACAAGGCTTTGACAGGTGCTGAGTTTTTCAAACAATGCTAGACCTTAATAAACAAACTTCTCTCTGGGATTTATGAAGTCCTAGCATTTCTGTCTGGCTCTCGTCTTAGATGTTAGACATGAGTGCTGATACAAATCCACATGTGGATTAGTCGAAAGCTATAGAACTGACATGATACTGTTTGGAGATATTTTTTCTTGCCTCCTTTCCCCTGCCCTCCCCTGCACACCAGTCAAGTTCTCTTGCTGGGTGGTTTTTCCTTGTCTACTTAATATCCTCTTCTGTCTGCACTCTCGTTAGGAGAGTAATTCCTTCTCCTGGAAATGAGGAGCTCGCCAAGGCAACAACTGCATGGAGCCCAGGTGGGCAGCATGTGCAAGATGGATCCTGACCAGGGCTCTAGGCTCAGACAGTGTTATGCGGTCCTCCATGGGTGTGTCAGGCCTACATGTGTGTCACCTCCCAGAGGCAGTAGGGCTGGAACCAACACTTTGCTGTCATCAGGATTCCTCCATTATGTTTGCTGGCAAATATTTATTGGGTATCTCTGGCTGAGCCACCCACTCAATTGCATGCTTGAAGGGAAAGGGCAGGAAGGATACGTGAGACCTGCTCCCATTTGTTACAGTGAAATCATGATCAAAGAACTAGTATGCAAGCCCACTACACCTTGCTTCAGGCCACAAGAGAGTACACTTTGTCAGCCAGGCCACAATTTCCTAAAGAAGGAGGTTGTATATCAGGCAGCAAACACACTCTTTCCAAGGGCAGAGCTATAGGCTAGAGGAAACAAAGATTTCAGGTCAAGCAATGGGATTTGGTTCCCTCATCTTTCCAAGGTCTTTCCTTACAGCTGAGGTTGTCACACTCTTTTCTAGATTTTATGCAAGTTGACCTCTCCTTTTACGTTTCTCAAACTTTTCTGTGACTGCATCTTGTCACCACATGAAAAGACTGATGGTGTGCTCCAAAGCCAACTCCAACTTCCTCTTCCTCTTCAGTTTGCTATATAGCTCTGTGTTGGTTTGGGGCGGCTTATTTTGCAAGGGGAACAACATAATACAGGACACATACTTTATATGATTATTTATAAGTCACCCAAAGAACAGTATACAAAA